CCCCAAAACCCCAAAACCCCAAAACCCCAAAACCCCTTGGAAGTGCAATCTATTGACAACATCCCAATTAAATAATATTCCTAATGGTAGCTAAGCAAGATTCAGATAGCCAAAAATCAGGACTATTGGTCTTTAAAAGCAACTAGGAAGCACCTCCGTGGTACCAGAACATCTTCTGAGAGGGATGGCATAAACCTTGACTATTTCAGACCCTTTTTTGTACAATTTTTACTCATTTATTGAGCAAGAAACTTGCCAATTCCTGGTCAACTATTATATTTTGAATCTATTTAAGAGATCATCTCACTTAAGACATAATTAGAGAGAGTGAATCTTGAGTCAGAATACACTGAGCTTACAGTCTTTGTCTGATTTTTATATCGGCCGTAACAAAAATTAAGAATGTGGTCATCAAAAGATTCTTTATAAATTCCTCTTAAAACATTCCAAATATTAACAATTTCCGTGAGAGAAGATAGTGGTCATATCCTATTCTATTTCTCAAAATCAAAATAAGTCAAGAGTATAATTTGCCAAGCCAGCCCTCCTCCATGGTCTTGATTTGATAGCTTCCTATAATGCTTCATCAAGTTCCAGAAAGGTTACAGTCTTTATCTCAGAGGCTGGAGAAGTCATTAACTAGAGGAATCAGAGGATCATCATAATCGTGCTTTCCAAGGAATTTAGAAATTAATAAAATTATTGATAAACATTCACGTCTAAAAATTATTCAAATTTCTTCTAAATATTTCAGAGGATGTCCCCGAGTGAAATAAGTGCATGCTGGGCTTGAAGGGCAAGTAGTATGCCTAAATCAACTTGATCGCTAATCAAATTTCTATATTACCAAGTCCCTAATATAACTGCTCTTTAGCACTTGTTGTCACTAGAGGCTGATATCTACTCACAGTTTTTACACCTTTAGGCTAAATTCTCTTCAAACTTTCAGCTGTGAGGGGTTATTGTAGAAAACATTTGGCATTATATCAAATCAAGTTTGGAATTCTTTCAGTAGCCGAGTTTTACTACTCATTGTAGGATTATAATATTACCTCACCTTTTGAGTTTAAGGGTCTCTTGGCTATCAAAAGAGAGATAGATACAAACAAAAATTACCCAGTTTTTATAAGCCTGAAAGTGGCCTTCCCCCAGATTTTGTAACGCTTTCTAAGTACCACTTCAACTTTCAGTAATCAAAGAAAATTTCGAAATTCTCAGCTTATGAAAACTCATTGATAAACCGAAAAATCATGATTATCAATGCTTGATATAGCAGATCAACAGAGGTATAGCCCTCTGGAATAATTAATACAACATCCGAAATTCTCCTATCAAGCCATAACATAGCTAATTCAGGAGGTTAATGGCTAAGAAAATTTCTGAAAAGTGAATGTAACCTACCTTCATTTTTAACCTATCCTTTCTTATAAAGCTGACTTGCTGCCGTAACAAGTCAGGACATTGTGATTTGGAAGTCCCATTTGCGACAGAAGTATCTAAACTAGCATCAAAAGTATCTATCGAAGATTTAGCGTTGTTTCCTTAAAAATCTGGTTTACCTCAAACCTTTATTAACCGAAATTTCAGAAGTAAAAAGTTTATAATCACTCGTGCATAAAATAAGCAGCAGGAAATGACCTAAAATTGATCGCAAATTCTACTCAAGCGGTTGAATATTCACCTTAAAGAGTTATGAGGGAAAATCAGGCTCTAGGCTCATCCTGGTTAGGAGCCAGCCCTCTGCCTCCTTGGTAAAAGATGTTTTTTAGAATTTAAATTTTATCCAAGAATTATTCACTGCCTTCATAAGTCCTCATAAAGTTTTAATATGAAAATTTCAAATCAGGCAAAACTTTATGAAATTCCGAGTTAGAGCCATTATTAATTCTCAAGTCCAAAGATCTCTGTTGTGGCTCCAAATGAGAGCATCTGCAAGTCTCAAGTGCAGTATCCTACCTCTGACAAGTACTCTGAGAGGCCAGAAGCTGATGGACTTAGGTCATAGCTTGTTGGAAGATCCTGAATTGGCGCTGGGCTCATTGGAAAGGGAAGACTGTAAAGATCCCTCTGATGGCTTGATAGCTTCTGGCTATACCCCTGGTGCATAACATTCATCTCTTGTTCAAATTTCTTCTATATAACTGTTAATTTTTCTACACTTTGTGGAGGATGAGGTCCTTCAAATTTTCAATTAATAATATTGGAAAAATAGCATCATTTATAAAGCCTTATCTGATTTACGAGAGCATGATGATTGACTAGGAACACCAAAAGTCCAGATTTTAATAACTAAAAAGCCTAAAGTTTAAGAAATAGCGTTCGAAGAAAATTATTGTCCAAGTTAGTTCCTAATATCACCAAGATGCCCTTAACTAAGTTTGAACACTAAAGCTCAGAAAGTTATAATTACCGTACAAATTTCAAAATAATTCAGAAATATAAAGTTAAAACGCAAACATTCTCATAATAGCAAATATAAGTATCCCAATAAATTGAGATTCAGTTTCTTGCTGGAACAAATAGGTTTGAATTCTTCAAAAATGCGGAAAAACATCAGATTGATGGGGCTCCTATACGATCTCTATAACTGCTTGAAGCATAAGACTTGATTAGCCCTAGCACTTAGCCTATAATCTCTGAATATGCCATCAGAGAGAGGCCAAGTTGTTATTGATTAGGCAAAAAGTTATTAAGGAATCCCCAACACATGTTGGTGTAATAGGTCCTATTTGGCTCGATACCCAGCGCACTAAATGGATCCAAACCTTATCTATAATGAGGGGAAAAATATAGAAATAGAAATTTTGGTTCAGACTCCCTTCTGAATTACTTTAAAATAGCAGATTCGTATTATTCCATCTGTCACATTCATTGAAGATATGTATATAACTTTGACAAAATTCGAAGAATGTTTCTATCGATCAAAATATATAGCTGGGATAGTTTCCCTAGATGGACTAAGACTCTCAACTGTATACTCTAGAGGAGTCTCTAAGCTTTGAAGTCATCATGATTGATAAAGATCATGAAGGGATAATAACTGAGATTTAAAACATTACCTTCTGTACCTGCCGGTTGAAATTTTGATTATGCTTCTTCAAATAATCCTCCCTTGTAATTTTAAGACGTCTCTAAAGAGGTTATTTCAAGCACTCACCTTCCTAGTGTTTGTGCACCAGATGCGGATCTGCTTCTCCATCAGGCCAGTTTGCATACTAAGCTGCTCCAGTTGCTCCTGAGTAGGATAAGGGAAATCAATATTTTGGTCAATCCAGTGGTTAAGCACCCTCAAACACTCTGATGAAAAATTTTCTTTCTTTGTATATTTTCTTGGTTCTAAAAGAGTCAGCACAAATAACTTACTTTTTGTAGTTTTGCAGATTTTGACATTTTGATTCATATATTGGCCGCTATATCAATTCGTCATAAAAAATTAAGTCAAAAGGCATTCCAGTTGACCAAAAAGCCTTTACGAAAATGAAAAGTATCCAAACTGTGAGGGAATTCAGCAGATATTTTCGTAAACTGACCTAGCTCTGGATCTCATAAGAGGAAGAAATCAGCCATGGATATGCAAGTATGTGGTATAGTAAGAACAAGATACTTGAAATTTTGATTATTCCATAAATAGGACTATTTACTTCTCACGTGAGAAAGATATAATTTTCATGCCAAAAGGTCGAAAAGTCACGACTCTATTATATTGAGAATGTTTATAACTTCATGATTATATATTTCTTGTCGACAAGTCCAGTAATAACATGCTTTGTAAACTGAATGTACATTATATTAAAATTCTCTCAGAACAAAATAATATTAACTCAAACTCTTTTAATGACTGAATCTTTCCAAAGTCATCACAGGTTAACTAACTGAGTCACTTTGTTATAATACCCTTGTGAAGGTAGATGATCAGCCATAAAATTTGCCTTGAATGAACTGAGTTGTGATAATAATCCGCAAAAACGCCAAATTGATGAGAATTATGCCTAAAATTCTATTCGAAATGATCAAATGAAAGTTTTCATTCTAAAGTCCCTGAAAATCATGGGAAGGATCTTTTCTCAAATCTATGGGAACACCGCAAAACTTCTCGGCATTCCCAATGAATAGGGAGTTGGCTTAATAAAATTTTCATTCCCATGACCTCCAGTTTAATCCAAGTGAGACACTTACAGTTGACCTGCAGAATTCTGGATATTGAAGTCGCCTGCTATCCCACTATTTCAAAGATCCTGGTCTTGATGTAGTTTTCTAAAAATCATTAGCTTTTATTTTATTTATTATTCCTCGATCAACCCGACTATAAAGTGTTGGGGTTTTGGGGTTTTGGGGTTTTGGGGTTTTGGGG